TCCCTCTCTTCTCTCTCTCTCTCTCTCTCTCTCTCTCTCTCTCTCTCTTTTGTAACTTTTCATCCAAAGGCAACTATGGACACCAATACAGGCACTGCTAGGGTCTTTTGACTGGACCAGTCTGGAAGTGCTTTGTAGCTTGTGCAATAAGTTACTGATAACACGAAACAAGGGAATTGCTGACACGAGTCAGAACTGTGGGACTCTATTAATCGTTTAGTTGTTATGAGTGCTTTTTTTTTATGTGAGTTGAAATGAGCTCATCCATCAGAGTGACTTCTTAACTGGTATCTGTGTGCTTCTTTGACTTTCCAGGTATGCTCGGTGCACTAGAGCTGTGTCAGTTGGTATGTGTATATTCTCCCCGGCCTCATAAACTACCTATATCTATGCTTAGGCTCCCCATTTAGATTCATTCTCTTGCAACATCTACAGCGAACCCTGCCTGCTGCTGGACTCTTCCCCCACATATTACCATCTTCCCTCTCTCCTGACCCCTTCCAGGCTTTCCCTTCTTTGAGGGCTGGCTGTGTAGGTGGATCTCACAGAAAGAAAGATCATTGATCTTTTATTTTCTGCTTTCCACTCCTTCGAGGAGCTGCGTTCGACAATTGTCCATGAGCAACAACGACATTCTGTCTGTCTAACCCTATGCCTGTTTCTGTTCCCGTCTCTGCGTGCCTTGTCCCCATCTCTCGACCTATCTGCTTGCCTTTTCTCTGTGCTTGCCAGCTTACCGTCTGCCTGCCCTGTCTGCCTGCCCGTCTGCTTGCCCTGTCTGCCTGCATGTCTGCTTGCCTGCTGCCCATGTGACTAGCTGTCTGCATGCCTGTATCCATGCCTGCCTACCTGCATGTCTGCCTGTCTTTCTGCCTGCCTGTCTGCCTATCTGGACTGCCTACCTGTCCTCCTGCCTGCAGGTCTTCCTGCTTGTCTGTCTTTCTTCTTCTCTGTTTATATGGAAGTTTGCCTGACCGCCTTCCTCTTCCTTTCTTTCTTTTGGCCTGACTCATTGCCCGCCTTCCTGGGTCTCTCCCCCGCTCGCTCTCGCTCTCGCTTCCTGCGTCTATTCTTTTTTTGCCTGCCTGGCTGTCTATATCCATGTCTGTGGGCCGTCCTTGTCTGCGGGCCTTCCTTTCTTTCTATCGGCCTGACTTTTTACCTGCCTTCCTGGGTCTCTTGCTCGCTCACTCCCGCTCTTGCTTGCTGCCTGTCTTCGTTTTTGCCTGCCTGCTTGCCTGCCTATAGCCATGCCTGCGGGCCTTCCTGCCTATATCCATGTCTGCTGGCCTGCCTGCCTATGTCCATGTCTGTGGGCCTGCCTTGCTTATATACATGTCTTTGTCCGCCAAACTGCTTTCTCTCTGTCTCTGTGTGTCCCAGTGTTTCCATCTGTCTGTCTGCCAGTTTCTTGACCAGTCTGTTTGTGTGAACGGGTGTCTGTAGATTGTCCAGTTTGTCAGACTGCATGGTTGTTTCTTGAGGGCTGCCAGGACTTAGTTTCGTGACCCCATGCAACTGGTTTGCGCCATATGTGGTTGGGTCCCGCCCTGAGACTTTCAATCTAAATCTGAGCCGGACAGCATTATGTTGGAAATTCCTTCGATTTTGAAGGATTCAAAATTCAAATACACTTTGGATTCTGGAAGGCATTTTTTAATGACGAAGGGTATGATGCTGAGAACCAGTAAATATCTGGGCCTCTATTGGGGCCCTGATTGTTGCTGTTGCCTCAACTTCATTCTCCGCATGATATAACTGCACCTTTTGAGACCGTTCTGTCATGGTGCGAAGTTGCGAACCCAATTTCCTTCGAGCATTTGTCCCTACCTCCGTACTTCGGCTGGTGTGCGATATCTAGACTTCTTTTGGTTGGTGCTGAGCAGCCTGGGCTTGGAAACCAGCTTTGGTAGACAAGGCCTCGAGAACTGCAGCAGAACGGGCTTGGTGAGGACTGTTACGTAGTTGCACATAAGCAAGTAGCGATTTGGCCGACGGCTATCGCCATAACTTTCCCAGTTCCTGTGGGGGCAGTCTGAAGAAACAGCAACTCGTTTTTCAACTCGGTCTCAAGCTTCAGGTATATTGCCTGTGGCATGGGCCATGGCATACATTCCACACACACTCTGTAATCCCACACACAACATTGGGATGCTCGGTGGGCATGTGTATGCTGCTATCACAGAAAGCACAGCTCCCGCCAGCTGAAGAACTCGAGGGTCACTTAGGTAAACATGCTAAACATTCCAAATTGTGTAGCAACTACTAGCAAGTAATGGATTTTTTTTATTTTTTATTTTTTTTCGTATTTGAGAAAGTGTTCAATTCTGAAGAGCCAAATGCTCTGCTCCAGCATGGAGCTGATGGAACGATTGAAAGCTCCGGGAATTATTTCACGTAAATCTGTGCATAAACCAATGCAATCAGGATTAAAAGCGGTGCATAGCCTTGTTCCAATAGGTCGAGTTCAAGGAGAACTTTGAATTGATTTTTTCCCTACCCATGTTTCCATCCCCATTTATAAGCACCAGGGAACATGTGCCCGTGAGCGCTGTGAAGTTGTGAGCTTGCGAGCACGGAAACATTGTCAGTGCTCCCTGTACGTATTATTGTTTTATCCAATTGCTGTTGGTTGGTAGTCGAGAGTGGCCATGCTTTCTTTGTGGGATTGCGAGTTTGGAGGTCTAAATATCTGCGGTGAGTATGCAGCCTACGCTAAGATGGGACAGTTGTTGGTTGGAAATTGCTGTTGGTTGGTAGTTGAGAGTGGACATGCTTTCTTTGTGGGGTTGCGAGTTTGGAGATCTAAATATCTGCGGTGAGTATGCATCCTGACGCACATGACGCTGCTTTGCTGGTGATGCAGCATAATCTTACTCCGAACAACCTATGCACCTTTTCAGCAGCTGATCTTAGAAAACCTCTAGCAGCTTCATTTCAGATTTGGAGAGCTATGTTCGTGGCTTCCAAGTGATTGTTGGAGAGACCAGAAATGCCTACGAACAGTCTACTAAGGATGGTGGGGAGAAATTCGAGGGACAGATAAAAACAAAAAAGACATTCCAGGGACAGATAAGGTCTAAGGAACTACTCCTCAGCTGCAGAGGACTTGCTTGTTCAATGGTTGACGAACACCTTTGCCATGGGCTTTCGTCTCTGGGCTTTCGTCTCTGACCATCTGCCACTGTTGTTGGCTTTTGCAGTTCCACCTGTGTACTATGCACACCTTGCTGCAATCCATTTCCGCCGCTACCTGGATGCTGAGCGGGGCGATGCAGGATCAGTTTTGAGTGGTGGAAGTGGGGACATTGATCCGAGTTTGGAGCCAAGGCCTCTGCCGCTGGTGAAAGAAGCTGTTCGGCGGAACATGTTCTTCTGCTGAGAAGTAGCACATGTCCTTTTTGGCAAAGAGAATTCAACCCTGCACTACATTACATGAAAGGAGGGACTGCTACTTTCCGGACAGCGTTGATGTGGTAGTGCCAAGGAATTGTGTGTGTGTATTAGGACCTGGCCATTTGGATGCTCAGGCGCGCAAAATTGTGGTCACAGGCAGTGACCTTCTTTGGTGCTTCTCTTTTCGTGTGCTCTCTGGAGGGCTTGTACTGTTAGTCTGCGAATGGTAGTCTGTACACTTTTCTAGGTACTGTTAGTCTGCGAAATGGTAGTCTGTACACTTCTGTGTACTCATTGTACTGTTCCTTGGTATGCAAAATGATAGTCTGTACACTACTGTGTACTACTTGTGCTGCTATTCTGTACACGTCTGTGCATTCTGCTGAGTGTTCTTCCGTGTGTGAGGATGCGAAGCATCGTCGGTCAGGTTCCTCAGTCAGTGAGATCATACGCTTGTGATGGCCATGCCTTCAGCCCAGCCCATAAGTGCCATACGGACTTGACGCCATCTCTCTTCTGGCTGTTAAGGGATCGTCGGTCAGACTGCTTTTTCAGTGTAATCATAAGCTTGTGATGTTCAGGCAATCAGCGAAGTGGTCGGATTGTACTCCTTCGAAGTTACCTACCTACACACCGTTATATCTGACTTGGCTGGTCAGATTGCGTTCTGCTATTGAACAACGGAGAGCTCGGCAAGCTGGTCATCCACATTGGCTGCGGTGTTATGCTACAGAGAAACCTGTGCCCTAATGCATGAAGATATGTGCATTAGGCTACCAGCTCCTTTTCGAAGCGGATCTGGAGACTACACTCTCTCCTTTGACAAGTGGGAGAGGATCTGTCAGTCTCGCAGAAGAAGCTTCAGCCTGTGCCTCTGCTCCAGTTATTTGTGATTTTGGCGGCTCTCTTCTTCCGCCGTTCTGATTCACATTTTTGATTTTCGCGGTTCTCTTCTTCCGCGGTTCTGATTCAGCACCTGGTGAGGTAGGTTATTTGCAGGGGAGGAAGAGTCTCAGAAGGATAATTTTGCTATTGTAGGAGAAGAAAAAACTTTGTGGAAGTCCAGCTGTGAATAGCCTTCTTTTAAGTTTTTGTCTTTGCACAATGTTGCAGTTGTCTAAGCGAGGTCCTGAATGTGATTTCATCTCCCTCCGGGCAGTTTTTCTGTTCCCGTGTTGTGGAGAGGGAATGTTTTCATGCTCAATAAGGTTCAATTTAAACTTCAGAGCGATGAAGTGGACTCTGACCCAATATGTTTTCCATGCACAGGGAAAGTGAAACATCTCCCCTCCGGTCTCTCATTCAGGTATCTCAAATTTCACATTCAGCGATGAAGGGCTCGGTTGATTATTGCTTGAGCCCAGGCTTCATTATGTAAGGAATTCTTTTTGTGTGCCTTCGTGGCCAGTTCACAGCGACTGGCAGGTGGGCACAAGCTGATTCTGTACTTGTAGCGGATTTTTTTTGCCCTGTGTTTCCCTGCCTCCGATCTTCAGGAATCTTCCAGGGAGAATCTGTACTTAAACATCAGCATCACTTTTTTGAAGTTTTTTCCTAGTGCCTTTCCTTTAGCAGTCCATATTTTTACCTCCTTTGACCTCGAACCAAAAGCAGAATTGCAACTCGAGTTCCACCAAATAAGAGCACAGCAAAAGCTCACAAGTGACAATGTTGGAATAGTCTCATCATCATTAACAATGAACCACTGTTGATTCCCTATCTGGCGCTCAGCGGCCAGACTACGAACGGCAGATCCTAGCTAGCATATTTACAATGCTGCTGGTGACGTCAACAGCTTCCCGAAGTACGAGCAGATCTCGGCCACTGCCGTTCTCCTTAAGCACCAGGTATGTTTCACGCCACTCACAATCTCGATCCCCCACACAGATGCCACGTGCACCCATGGACCACCATGTGCCCCATACAGCATCTCGCAGGCCAGCTCGGCTATGGCTCCCTGTGTGTACCCTGCTCGCTCGTGAGCGCGTGGGCGCTTGCTTGCCAGTAGCGCAGCAGCGCTTGCGCAGCATGTAGCAAGTGCCCGAATGCCAACTGTGGAGGCAGGCACTTTCCTTTATGGAAGTGGCCTGCCTGCTGTGTGCTGCCTGGCTGCGCTGGGCCCCTGCCCGAAAGCTTCCGGTAGGCCCCAAGAGGCTGAGGCCCTGTACCAGGGCGTCAGGCACAGGGCCTTGGGTGGTTACCTGTGTCCAACTGCCAGCGGCTTGGATTCAGTCCATGACCTGTGTCTGGTCCAGGGCCTGCCTCAGATTCATTTGGAAAAAGGCAGGCAGGGCCTGGGCTCACTCAACCAACTGGCGCTGTGCAACTGCCTGAATTTCCCAGCTGTGTCCAACCCCACAAAAAATAGTCCTCTCCTGCCTTGTCAGGGCCGCCTTCACCTAGGGCGGCTGTTCTGGCTGAAACAGGGTCCAGTAGGGCTTACCGAGGCCTTGAGCCTCACAGATTTTTGTCGCGCTGTGTTTTCCTTCATCCAATGCGCAACAATTCTAAGGTGCCTGGTGCAGTAGTCGGCTGATTCTCAGGTAGTAGAAAGTCTAGGGGCAGTCTAGGCTTGAAAGTCAGTAGCAAGCGGTTTGGGCTCACCACTGTTGCGCTTCTGCACAGCGTTGTTGTACAGACTAGCGACAAGAGCAAGTTTCTCATCCCAGTCCACCTGATTAGGCTTGATATAGTGCCTCAGCAGGTGTTGTACAGCGCGGTTCAGCTGCTCTGCTTGTCCATTTGCCTCTGGGTGGTTACTGGAGGTCATAGGTACGCTGGACCGGACACCAGACCGAATCCGGACCACGGACCCTGGACCTCCCGGGCCCTGCCGGAGTTCCGGGAACAAATCCACCGTCGTCCGTGAAGCCAGCGTACACGTTATCAGTGTAGTGTTTTTTTTTTGTCTCTCTCTCCTCCCATTTGCTCCTTTTTTTTTTTTCTGAATTTTCAATCTGTCGTTTTCTTTTTTAATTCGTCAATTGTGCTCCGACTTCGGAGACGGTTTGAGGATATTCTTTATTAACCTTTGATTGTTTTTATTTTTTTATTTTTTAAGTTTATTTGAGTTTATGTGAGCGGTCAGTGTGAGGTCACCCACTACATTTCTTATTAAGCCCGCACCACTTGCACTGAGGGCGCCTAGTTAATAATTATATTATTGTTCTCCATGCCAAAAAGAGGGGAAAAATCTTCGAGGACATTGACAATATCAGAAACCACATGCAAGCAAATAGTTCTTCAACATGAAAACAAACGGAAAAAATAAACGACAGGACAAACTTCATAACCAGATGCATATAGCACATCCGAACCAGACAACCAACACAAGTGAAAATCAATTCCGCAGTAGTGAGATGATTCCAAAACAAGGTTTCCTCATAGCCCCTCTGAAATCTTAGTCTAATACAGGAGTCTGCTGTTGAATAGGCTAGGTAGTTGTTCAAGATTTCTCAAAATTCATGAACTTTCCTATGGATTCTCAGCCGAAGCCGAGTAAAGGCACCAATACCTTATATGTTTTGTTTAAGCTTCATATGGGACGCTGGGCCCGGTTCCCAACACATGCTGCTCCCCACGAATAGATTAGAGCACATTGTCCCCCTCCCCACCCCTCCAAAAAAAGTCCGCATTGTGATTTTCATAATAAAAGTCTTGTTTGTCTACAACCTGGACGCTCAAAATGAAGACATCTGGCTGAACAGTGCATATAGAATGGCAGGGTGAGTCTTCAGGTTGCCTCCATAGCTTGGGGATTCACACACTGCCACATTCTCCAGCTCACGATTTTTGACAAATCCTGTTCCTGCACCCCTCTACCCCTCCATTCAGACCAAGACAATCTTTATTGGTGCAACAACCCACCCTGCATTTCCCAAGGCAGCAGATTCTCTGCAGACCTCTGCAGTCCCTGTGCGTGCAGCACTTTGCTTTCACGCATCTCCAATTGCAGCACTTGTGTGAGGTACCATAGAGCCGTCTGCAGTCGTCATGGTAGCGGCAATTTACACCAGCTACACATGGGGATCTCCTGCACTTGTCATACTGACATTGGCCTTGTCGGTTGCACTTCTCGTTAATTCCGCAATCCTCCTCCCGGTAGCAACGGTCCTCCTCTACAGCCTGAGCAAGTGTCACCCCTGTCACTGCGATGGAAATAGTGAAGAGGAAACAGAAGACGTACCACTTCATCTTCTTCTTGTCTACCCCGACTCCCCTCTTCTGCAATAGAGACTTCATCCACCTGCCATCATCAGAAGTTCATACACACAAAGAAGAACTCTGTCACAAAGCCTGTACTTCGAATCTATTTATGTTGAAGGACACTCAAATCCACTGATGTGGAGCTGCACCCCCCGGGAACTAGCATCTGGTGGCTGCCTGGCACCCTAAGTCTTTCACTTCCGAGCATGTTTTATTCTTTCGCTTCTTGTTGTCTGTTTTTGTATGCTTTGGGATTTTGGCTGTCTTAGTGCGAGCGTTCTGGGTTTCCTCGTTGCTTTCTGTTTCTGGGATTTTGGCTGTCTGAGGGTTATGGGTCTGAAGAAGCTTTCTGAGGGTTGTGCGGGTTGTTTAAGCGTAGGGGTGGTGGAAGAAGGGACCTGGGGCACACTGAAAGGTGTAATGGTCTTGGGGTCAAGGTGGTCATGGAGNGTGCGGGTTGTTTAAGCGTAGGGGTGGTGGAAGAAGGGACCTGGGGCACACTGAAAGGTGTAATGGTCTTGGGGTCAAGGTGGTCATGGAGGGGTCCCACATGGGATCAACGGTTGGGCGGTAAGGTTTGCGGTGCCACAAGGAAACATCCGGGATGGTATGCGTCTGCCACCGGATCTGATCTGCGACTTGACAGTCGTTGGTGCTACTACAAAACAGGGCTCTCGAGGATGCAATGTGTGGCACTGTGACGTGCCAACTTATGATGCTGCGCGGATCTCTTTCCCCCTCCACATCGTTTGCCATTTTGAAGGGTTTGTATACTAGTTGACATTCCGTCTTTGTGTTCGGTTTCTGCAGGCTTCGTCTTCGGTGGGCTATCTGCAGGCTACTCTATGGACGCACCAAGCACATGGCTTTTCAAATTCTGGTTTCTTGCTACGTATCCCCTGCGGATGCGCTCATGGCAGTTGTGACCGCGGCCTACGGTCGGGGCCGTGGGGCCGTGGTCATGACCGTCGCGGGTGGGGTTGGAGATGGCCCGCTGCTGCCGAGGGGAGGTTGGTCCTGCCAATCGGGGCCGGGATTCCGGCGGTCGGACCCGGACCCACCCCCCCCATAAAAAAAAAAAAAAACTAAAAACGGGGGGGTCCAAATAAGGTTTGTTTTTTTACTTTTTTTTTAACTGATTGATTGATTGATTGATTGATTAATTAATTGGTTGGTTGATATGATTCAATGATTTTTTAAACTTTTTTTTTTATTGATTGATTGATTGATGGATGGATTGATGGATTGATTGATTGATTGATTGATTGATTGGTGAAGGGGTTGCCCTTCCCCCCGGCACACACACACACACAGACAGGCGAGTCAAACCCGCTCTGTTTTTTTTATTGATTGATTGATTGATTGATTGATTGTTGGGGAAGAGGTCACCCTTCCCCCCTGCACACACACACACACACACACACACACACACACACACACACACACACACACACACACACACACACACACACACAC